AACACACTCTCATATACTCTGACTCCATTTTGGCCTAGTAGAACAATAAGCACCAGACTTTTTTATAATTTCTACTGGATCTTAGATCTGCGCATGCGCAATTACGGGTCGAGGATTGACCAACCGGCTCCCACTGCTCTGCTGTCTGTTAACGTTGTTAAGAGTGGTGGGGGCGGGGAGGGAGCGGATCGACAGCTTGAGCTGCTGTCAACTCAACATTGTAAAATAACCGACCAAAAAACGATACGCCGGTTCATTTTGTTCTTGGCGTGAGAATAGTTTGGGCAGCGTGAGAGCGTGAGATTGAGAGTGAAAGCGCGTGTCACACGCCAGATGCGTGAGAGTTGGCAACCCTGGTAAAAACTTGCAATATTTTGATGTGAATCGGAGTCTTGCTGGAAAGAATAGGTTAAAGTGTTGACTTCTGATTTATGAGGGATCATATTAGCTTAAGCTTATTTATCTTTTACACAGAATTGGGACTTTTGATATCGTCTCTCATTTCTTACTGCGAGCCATGAAGGGTTCCCTTAACGGACAGTATGGACAGATATTATTGCAGTGACCAAAAGAATTACAGAAATCCTAACATAGGAATGAGTTAGCATTTTTGACAATGGGGGCTTTGAATGTTTATTTGTTAGATGCCTGAAATAAGACATTTTTCTGATCACTGATTAGTTGTTAGTAGGGGTTTAACGGTTCACAAACATTTCGGTACGTTTTCGGTACAGCAGAAAAAATTATCACAAAACATAAAATATTTTTGTTCTTTTTTATTATTATTAAACTGTGAATAATGTATTCACTCAAATAAATACAAAATAAAATAAACATTAAGGTGCAGCATTTTCAAATAATCTGTATTTGAACTTTACTGTACTAGTACTCACAAAACATAAACTATTAGTTTGGGGTTTTTAATTATTATTAAACTGTAATATTCACTCAAATAAATACAAAATATAATAAAATAAACATTAAAGCATTTCGATGAACTGAAATAATCTGTATTTGAACTGTACTACTGTACCTAAGCAGCCAGTTTGACATTATGACTTGCTTGTCATTGTATTTTCATGTTTTTTTTTTAAAGAAAAATTAACTTGTCTGCATTGCTTGCCGAAAGGGCAGATCTGCTGGCACTAACAATGTCTCCTGCTGTGGAGAACACCCTCTCGCTAGTTACAGAGGTAGCAGATACAGCCAGGTAGCGCTTTGCTAACATGGCAACATAAGGATATTTGGCGTTTGTAATAGCTTTGGCTCGGTCTGAACTTTTTGCGAGTGGTGGAGGCTTAAATGCTAGCGGGAGTTGGGTTTGCACTTCAGTCTTTTTTCTTTTGGTACCGGTGATATTCACGTTCGGGTGATGCCTTTTCAAATGAGTGTGCAAGTTTGATGTATTGCCAGCCGTAACCAATTTTAGTTGAACAATGCCGACAAACAGCTTTGGTTCGGTCCACCTGTCTTTGTCCGTCATCCTTGTACGTAACTGCGAGACCAAAATGTTCCCAAACCGGAAACTTCAATGATGCTGGAGGATTTTCGAGCTCAACTTTATCTGCGTTCCCATTTCGACAGTTCCTCAAATTACTGACTAAATTTGAACGCATTCCTGTGACCAGCTCTCATAGTATGCCTCTCGTCCAATGAAATGACTTGCTCGCTCTATGACGCGTTGAACCCAATGTGAGCAAATTACTCTGAATGCCGCGACGCAGCACCTGAGATTACTTCCAAAAAGTTGTTCACGTTCTCAATTTTTTACGTTTTACTTATATTCGTCCGGTACACTTCGGTACACACGTGTACCGAACCGAAGGGCCCGTACCAAATAATTACGGGTACGTGTACCGTTACACCCCTAGTTGTTAGATTCATTTCTAATGCAAAAATACTAGAAAATCCTATTTTCAGCCTATCAAATGAGGGGATTTATTACTTACCTGTTTTATATCCAATAAAGGGAATGTCACTGGGTTTTGGAATGACTAGACATTTAAAGAAATTGGACTTACTTGGAAAATATAGAAATGTACATCCAAGATTCTCAGAGATTTTATAGCCCATTAAACATTTATTCTAGGAAATAATCAACAGATTAAATGATAATGAAAACAATTGTGAAACTTAAAGTTGAGTCGCTGAAACATTTATGTTGAAATGCTGGAATTCTAAAGCTACTTTTAGCCGCCTATCTTATAATGCCATGGCTCCCCCAGCCCGGCTGAATGGCAGGGAGGATATAAGGCATAAATGAATGTGCATAAAACACCTTGCATCACATCATCATTGTGTAATCCTTTCTTTCTCATCTGTCAATCATCAATAGAAAAACGTAATCCCTGAATATCCGTGGACTAGTCCGCACCGATACCTTTGACACAAAGAGTAAGCACAGCCTCTATTTCTAATACAAAACGTTCACTTTGAAGTCTTAAGATAAGCGTTAGATGTGTGACATCATTCATTAGTAATGTGTGTCAGTTTGCATTTCTTTTGCACATGTTTTTCTATTTGACCAGGGCTTTGGTTTTCTCCCCCGGTACAATACCCTATTCTAGTGCAGATGCTCACACCAAACTTCTCAAAATGTATTATTAACTGCAAGGGCAATTATATAATAATAATAATCACATTGTGACCAATTTGTCCGACAATGGCATATTTATGTATCATCATGACCTACAATTCCGGTATAATCCCGGCATTTAAAAACAGAAATGTTTTATTTACTGCAGAATTGTACCGAGTACCAATACAAATCCTCAAGCAAGTCGACTTTGCAATAGGTAAAATCAGATTTAAATTAAAGGATTGCGAGGCTGTCAGTTATTCCCTAATGATTATTTGTTGCCCAGCGCCTTCCCCGCTGTTTTTCTGACCCTCTCTTAACAATGGAAATGTCCGTGTTTTGGGGCAGTGTCAGTTAGGCCTGCTGATTCAAATTGTTTTTCCTGTGATCCTGTCATCCAAGTGCAAACACCTTCAGTTATTTACAGTGAAATGTCCTCTGTGTTCACCTTCACTTCCTGTCTGTTTTCAGCATTACTCTACGTGCTGTACATACTGTATAGTTTTACCATACTGCAGGATTCAGCAGCGCGAGGTCACTGGCAGGGTTACTTGCGAGGTCATTGTTAGCCGTGAGAAAATTAACGCTGATTGGTCTCGTCACGATTTTCTCCCTGAAGCCCGTGCCACTGAGGCACCTGCCAAGCAGAGCTTCTTTAAATGAGAACGGAGCCTATTCAACAGCTGCATAGGCAGCCAGGCGGGCAGACAGTGCAGAGGAGAGAGGGACAAAAGAAAGCAAAATGCAAAAACAGAGAAGACTTTCTAAATGGGAAACTCTGGGACTTCTTTGAAAGGTCTTAAATCAATTTAACATAAAGTACAAACCCATGCAATGTTAATCTATTCGGTTTAATACCATTGCTTTTAGATCCTTTATAATCCACATTCAATACAACCACTTTTCTTCTCTAACAAGCTTGCCCTATAGCAATTTTATAAATCATTGGCACAGGGCTTTTGCAGTGCCACAAATTATGTTATGGTGTCATTATTTCACTGAGTTATGAAGCAGGCAAGGTGGAATGACAAACATGTAGTACAACAGCACAAACATATTGCAATTGCCTCCCTGAGTCATAGCATACAGAAATGGTATAAGAGTGTTTAAAAAAGATTAAGAATAACTGCGACAGCAAGAGGAGTTTGTGGTTCATTTAAAAATTGGAAGCATCAACCACCATCTGAGCTGTTTTATTGCACCTTCGACTTCTGTGAGCGAGACTCAAAAGGAAAGAAGTTAAAGTGATACACTTGGCGTGCAAGAACGCTGGTAGTTTCTCAACCATATGCCGATATCCTTAAGTCACCATGTGCTCTGGCTTTGAAAGCCTCCACTGCCAATTCCTCATTTGAAACCTGACCAACTCTTTAACAATGCCTCTCTCTGATCCAGTGGGAAGGAGAAAATCTATTATTGATTTCCACCTGGTTTAGGTGGAAAAAGCCCTTATGGTGGTGTTGAATAGCGCTACACTGTACCGTGCATTCACACTAAAGCTGGGGGACGGTGTGAGAGGGTATGTCAACAAAGCCCTTGACTACGACACAAAACCATCTGCACACGCTGAATATTTAATAGTCAATAGAAATTGCTCGAGACCAGTAATCAAAAAAAGGAAAAAGAAAAGATAATAAGCATCATGAGGAGCTCATACATCAGTTCCTGCGTGATATGAGTTTGGCTTGTCTTTTAAATCACCCATTGTTTCAATGCTAATTGTGACTATTTCTCGATGCATGCACCACAATTACAGATATTTCTTAATCACTTATGTCATTCAATCCTATTCAACTCCAAATACAAAAGAAAACAACTCAATAGACGTATAATTCCACCAGCAAATTAAATGCATCCCTGTCAGAGATGTCAACAATCATCTAAGAATAAAACTCTTAGCTTTTTACAAAAACGTGCACCTTAAAAAAACCTTTAACAACACAAGACGGGATGACATTATTTCTCCACGTCCTATTTTTCACACCTGCATAAAACTTCCAACAAATAGATAACTGCAGACATATGAACCCACTTCCTGTCAGTTACAAGTTCCCCCATCAAACCAATAAGATGGTTTCACATTTATACTCTGTTGCATAAACACACAATGAGCCTGATTATACTATTGCAGCCTAAAATTGGCATTGAGCTATTTTCTAATAACACATTTAAAAATGGTGACATTTAAAAAAAAAACTATAATGAGGGATGAAATGCAAATATAAGCATAAAAGCACAGGGAAAAAATGATGTGTATATAAATCAGCATAACCTCAATCATGCTGAACGTTTCCTTTAAGTCTTATTTGTCCAACTTTAATTGCTTTGGTGAAACAGCACAGGCAAGGTGAGAACAATGGAGCCACACTAGGTATTTCTCGACAATAACAAACAGACAACCACCGCTTCTTTGTGTCTGCTGTGTGAGCACACAAAATTAGGTAAGCCGGTGACATGAGACATAATCATTTTCTTTGAGCGGGGTTAGTGACCAATTTATTCTTACCTTAGGCTGGGCGCGACGTGGAAAGGCAACCTTAGGATCAATCTGAGAAGGAGAAAATAAATTGTTGTTAAAAGAAACGCTGGGTTTTTGGTGAAAAGCAATGAATAGGTGTTAAAAATATTTCTCAAACTGTAAGACCACAAAAGGCTCCCCAGAGTCCAAGCATTCATATTGTAAATCCTCTGTGACCACGGATAAATACTAGGACTTTAAAAGCAGTAATACAGATTCAAAATGTATTCAAATTGTGATATTTTCAATTGACAATATTAAGAATGTATCTAGGCCATTAAGATTAACAAAAGCTGCCTGTGGCGATAGAAAGTCTGCTCTTGAATTCAATAAGCATTTTTTACACTAAATCTGCATTCAGGAGCTGTCAAAGTTATTGCAGTTACAAATTAAGTGCACATAAATGGCCCAACAAAAGGATGATTAGAACATAGGAAGGATGTTTTTTTTTCATTGCACAATGGCTCTCCTACATTGAAGCTGACTTTTGTTTAATCTGACCTTTAATTTTTCCCCTCTGTCCGCCGCTCTGGTTAAGGTTATAAGTTATTTTCACGAGGAACGGCTGAGTCATGGTTATGTGTATCTTAATATGCTAATTCCCTTGTAGTCATGTGGCAGTCAAAAATATCAAATCTGACAACTACATGCCCTGATCATGTTTTTCTCCTGATCATTGATGAGTCACATTGTCTTAGTCGGCAGATAAAAAGCAATTGATGTTTTTTATTTTTTCGTAGCAGCTGGTATACAAGGCTCTTTACAAAATATATTCACCAATATCCCAAACAAACGTTGAAACTGTTCCTTGATCAGGGTAGACTGGAACAAATATTGGTATCTATGGTGTGTATTGTAAAGTGCTGTTTTGCTGAAGAACATACAATTGAAATAAGTATAAATAAACAATTATATTCCTATTAAAATGTTTGCTAAATTAAATGTCAAATTACATGCATAATAATAAGAAGAAGAATAATACAAATTAAAAACATGGAATATATATTTGTAACAAAACTATAGAGATGCGAAGTCCCGCCCATCTACATCTACCCATGGGACCTTATTTCGGAAAAAGTATGTATTGAAGTCAATGGGGAGCGAAAATGTATCTTTCGATCCCGTTTGAATTGTGGCACGAATTACACATGAAGTTTGTCAATCTTAAAAAATCATTTCCATGTCAAAAAAGTCACAGTTTGTCGTAAAACTGTTGAAATATAAGACTATGAAAAATACGCAACTAGAAAGACTACAAATCCCAGAATCCCGGTCCCGCATGCTGGCTCTTACGGAACCGACTAACTCCCCTTTTGTGTATGTACAGCTCTCAACATGCCCAGACTTGTAGTGATTTTCACCTCTTTTAATACTTTCCGCCTGAAAGAAAGAAGTGAAATGTGCCAACGTGACGGCCGTCTTGGTGTGTGGTGCGATACGGGAGATGTAGTTCATTGAGCGGTTTCACAAAAAAAAAGAAGGTGTTACTTCACAGTTTTACGACAACACATTTTTTTTTTGAAGTTTCTCACCAAAAAGTTGACATTTGATCAATCATGATTCATTTATTATTATTTAAATGTTGCTACATAAAGCTTCAAAAAAGCTCTTTTATTCACAATGCAGCATTGTAGCAGCCTATCAGTCATTCAATGAATCCCTACTATACAGCATTCTATAATTAGACAGGTGCAGAGATTAGGCCCCATAACTGCTTTCACGCAGGTCGGCTTAGTTTTTCGGAATTTTCGCTGAGCAATTAGGTTAAAAACAGACTAACATCTCGAATGAATATCTTCAAGTCTGACTAATGGAAGTGAAATGATGAGGATTTGAAAATATATCAAATATCCCTGACATTACTTTGATATTTTCTACTACTGATACAAATGTAGAAAGGTATTTGGCGATGCACTATGGCAAAGCACATTTAAAAGACTGCTAATTACTGACTAATATTGGTGATACGACATCATTTTACGATGGTGTCAACTGATATAGTACATTCAAAAAACAACAACAGAAAAAGAAGAACAAGTTAGTGAGCAAGCCAGCCACACTATCGCTCTGCCGGTCATGGTCGCAGCTTTTATTTTAGGCAGGAATCGCTGATTGAATATGACAGGGAGAAAATGAGAGTCTGGGGCCTCTGACGCCTCCAGATATTGCCAAATAACCAGGAGGATGCGTCAGATCAGCCTGTTTCTCCATCTTATGCTTGTTATCTCATTAGCTACATTTCCCTAATTCATTTCACTGGTATGAAGGTATGTGGGGGGTCTCATCAACCTTTACAATGTAGAGGAACTATCTCATACAGCAATGTCTTCCTCAATTGTCTTTGCCTGAATACCAAAGAAATTGTAAGAGGAAAGATTTGCTTTTGTTTTTAACTGAAAATCCTTTTTTATATATCTTCTGCTGCGTATTAAACTCACATCTACAATCAGTATACTAATTATATGCATCCATAAAAGTTACTCCTTGAGCACAGATGGATATATTTATGAAAAAACAAATCTCTTCCTGATGAGGAAAACAATGAAAATAGAACGAATTAAGAAACACAAGAACATAAAGACACCATCTGCACAGATCAATTAAGCCAATGAGACTGAGCACGTTTTAATGTGTTTGAAGGGAAACCATGATGTGCAATGTCATTGTCATCTTTTCTGTCAGTCTCAGTTATTACGGTAATCTTTTTAAATCAGGTCAAAATGAGAAATGAATTCAATAACACCTGGGTATGGCAACCCCTGCTTGTAATGAATTTAATTTAAAGATTTGTTTTAGCACTTAGCCCCAGGCATAACCAATTTAAACTCAATTATTCTGTGTGCCCTATTTGAGCAAAGACAACACATTATGCTTAGAATACCAAAGTCCTATATACACTTGGAAATATATCTGACTTTTTTTAAGCCTATACAAAACCTATTAAACCTCATTTCAACATATTGTGTCAACTAATTGTTTTTCCTTCCTGCTGAGAATTTATTTTTCACAACGAGGCTTTCCGATTCAAGAGAGCACTGAAAAACAATGGAGGTCCTATAGTTTTCTGTCAGTTGCAAATACTACAACTATCAAAAAGAGGCAATTATATGCACAGAATGGTGTTGTAATGAGGCTACTGTGGATTGTTTAAAGTCACTCTCAAGGCAATGCAACCAAATGAGGCAAAGAGGACTTACGGTACTAACCAATCCTTCTGAGAAATCTTGTAGCAGCACCTTTTTAGGTCACAACTTATGATGAATGACCGAGAAATTTGAACAGGAGGAGAGGAGACGAAGCAATCGTTTCCCTTTGGTTTACATATTAATGTGTAAAAATGTGAAAGTGCCATCATAACTAAGGCCAATAGCTAAAATGTGCACTGCACTTTACTCTGAGGTGTAATAAGTACTCGGATGTTATACTTAAGTTAAAAGTAGTAAGATTGCTGTGTACAAATACTCTGTTACAAGTAAAAGTCCTGCATTTCAAATATGTATTGGCAGCAAAATATACTTAAGTACTAAATCTGAAAGTACTCATCTAAGTGGCCATCACACACTGGATTATAATTAGTGATCCAGTAACGTGTTTTACATTTGGATTTTGGAGCTGTTAAAAAGGTGAAAAGAATGCCAGGTATCTCCATCCACAAAAAAAAAAAAAGTTAAATTCAATTTTTGTATCAAAATATGAACTAAATAATGTCCTGAAATAAATGTAGTCGAGTAAAAAGTACAGTATTTGCTTTCAAAATGTGTACAATGTAGCATAAAAGGGAAATACTCAAGTAAAGTACATGTACTTTAAAAAAGAACAGTTCTTGAGTAAATAGCCGCGTTCACACCGGAGTAATTTTCCCACTTTAGTTCCGATATAGTTCCGAAATGTCGTGTTCACACCAAAAAGAGCCGGAACTAAAATTAGTTCATGAGAACCTTTTTACCCCCTTTTCCGTCCCTGCTAGAGAGCAGGGACTCTCATGCGGCTCTCTTGTGAGAAAAGAGCTACATTTCTGATTGGCTGGGCGGATTGCAAACCACGCCCTGTAAAACTCAAAAAAAGTGTTGTGAAGCCACCATTTTATTATCCTCGCATTAGCATTATTAGCATTAGCATTAGCCCAGCGCAGAAACACAGAGAGACTAACTTATGGCAACACAAAATAAAACATGGGAGCGGTGGAGATGAGGAGGTGTCGGCGTTCTGGCGATTTACTTGGAAGGCCAGTCCCCAACTCCGGGGACTTCCGGCCGGGGATTTTGGGCGGCAGTATACGCCGTGAAGTTGTTTGCGGTCTGCCAGTAAACCCAAAGCAGAAGAAGAAGAAGTGACGTCAGCGGCTTCATTTGCCTAATCCACCCCCAGGGACTTATTCCGGTGTGAACGCGATCTGTACTTAGTTAATCAGAACTAAAGAGTTCTGATGAACTAAGTTCTCATGAACCTTTGTGGGAAAAGTACTGCGGTGTGAAAGCTCCTATTGTACTTAGTTGCCTTCCACCCCTGACTTTACTGTGTAACCAAACCTTTGAACCAGAGACTATGCTGTCCCGGTTTGACCCGATACTTCCTTCCTGAAACATTTTGGTTATGCAACTCACATACCATCAGGGTTTGGGATCAGTCAACCGAACCTGGGCACTTGTTATAGGAGTTTCCACACAAGGTGCAACATTTCCCTCAAGTCTGATTTCATTTATATCTTCAAAATGTTAGCTTTTATTAAAAACACCAACCTATTAGTGATGCACTTTGCATGTTTTTGTTTTTGAGTATACTATTCTTCCCTTAATGTGTTAGGGGGGAGGGCACTCTCTTATCCTCACTGTGCTTTTACTTTCAATGTTATTCTCTATCAGCTGAATGCAACAAATTAAAGCATACTCTGTGATTTGTTGAAATTGATTCTGGGAACAAATCACAAACTGATGTAGAAGTAAAAAGGTGTTTTTAAGGGATATTTGTCCCAAAAAGCACATAAGTTAAAAAGACACGCAACATCTTCGTAGATAGCGACACCTCCCATC